AGTGCTCAGTCCCACTAGGCCATGTCTTCCCCTTTGTTTGAAGCTGCATTCTCGCTGATGTAGATGTAGCCTGGCTGTTGTATTGTATCCTCTTGTCTGTCTGTTAGGTGTACTTTTATTTGTTGTATTTTCAAAAATATGTGTGTTTTGGGGAGGAGATTTCCGCTGCCCTACTCACAGCGACATCTTCCCAAAATTCTTCATATTTTATTTTTTTTGATGCAATTGTGAATGGAATTCTTTTTCTGATTAGTCCTTTTTCTAATTCATCATTAGTGTACAGAAATGCAACAGATTTCTGTGCATTAATTTTGTATCCTACAACTTTTCTGAATTCAGATATTAGATGTAGTAATTTTTATTGGATTCTTTAGTAATTGTACAATATCATGTTATCTGCAAAGAGGGACAGTTTAACCTCTTTTTGTTTATCTGGATGCCTTTTATCTCTTTCTGTTGTCTTGATTGCCAAAGCAAGGACCTCCAGAACTATGTCGAGAAAGGTGGGGTGAGTGGGCATCCCTGTCTTCTTTGTGATCTTAATGAAAAACTATTGGCTTCTGGCTGTGAAGCATAATCTTGACTGGGTTTGCATTTATGGCATTTATGATGTTGAGGTATTTGCCCTCTTTTACTCATTTTGTTGAGAGTTTTTGTCATAAATGAATGTCGAATTTTATTGAATGCTTTTTTTCAGCATCTGTGTGGAGGATCATGTGGTTTTTGTCCTTTTTGTTTATGTGGTGGATGATGTTGATGGATTGTTGAATGTTGTATCTTTGCGTCCCTGGAGTAAATCCTCCTTTATCATGGTGGTTGACCTTTTTGATGTATTTTACAATTCGGTGTGCTAATATTTGGTTGAGTATTTTGCAACTATATTCATAAGGGATATGGACTGTAATTTTTTTTGTGTGTGGTGTCTTTGCCTGATTTTGGTATTAAAGTGGTGCTGGCCTTATAGAATGAGTATGTGAGTACTGCCTCCTCTTCTACTTTTTGAAAACTTTCAGGTGGATGGGTATTAGTTCTTCACTAAATGTTTAATGAGATTCAGCAGTGAAACTGTCGGTTCCAGGCATTTTGTTCTTAGGTGGTTTTTTGATTACCAGTTCAATTTCGTTGCTGGTAATTAGTCTGTTCATATTTTCTGTTCCTTCCTGTGTCAGTGTTGGAATGTGGTATTTTTCTAGAAAGTTTTCCATTTATTCTAGCTTATGCAGTTTGTTAGTATATAATTATTCCTAGTATTCTATAGTAATTCTTTCTATTTCTGTGATGTCCATATTAATTTTTCTTTTCTCACTTCTCATTGTGCTTGTGTGTTTAGACTCTTTTTTTCTTGATACATCTGGCTTCGGGTTTGTCTATTTTATTGAAGAACCAGCTCCTGCTTTCATCAATTCTTTCTGTTGCTTTATTCTTCTCAATTTTACTTACTTCTGCCCTGATCTTTATTATGTCCCTGCTTCCACTCTCTTTGGGCCTCATTTGTTTTTCTGTATCTAGTTTTATTAATTGTGAGTTTAGACTGTTCATTTGGAATTTTTCTTCCTTGAGGTAGGCCTATATTAGAATATACATCCCTCTTAGCATCACCTTCGTTGAATCCCATAGGCTTTGCAGTGTTGAATAATTGTTGTCATTTGTCTCCATATATTGCTTGCTCTCTGTTTTTATTTGGTCATTGATCCATTGATAATTTTGGAACATGTTATCAAACCACCATCTGTGGGCTTTTTCATCTTCTTTGTGTAATTTAATTCTAGTTTTATACCTTTGTGGTATGAGAGGTTGGTTGGTACAATTTCAGTCTTTTTGAAAATACTGAGGTTCTTTATGTGGCCTAGTATTTTATATCTTCTTTACAGTGTTCCTTGTGCACTTGAGAAGAATGTGTATCATGATTCTTTTGGCTGGAGTGTTCTGTAGATGTCCTTTAAATCCATCTGTTCTAATACGTTGTTCACTGCCTCTGTCTCCTTCCTTATTTTCTGTCTGGTTGATCTGTCCTTTGTAGTGAGTGATGTGTTGATGTCTCCTAAAATGAATGCATTGCATTCTATTTCCTCCTTTAATTCTGTTCATATGTGTTTCACATGTGCATTTGATCCTGCTTTTGCTGCACATATATTTATAATGGTTATTTCTTGATGGACTGACCCTTTTATCATCAAGTAATGTCCTTCTTTGTCTCATGTTACTTTCTTTGTTTTGAAGTCTATTTTGTCTTTTGCAAGTACTGCAATTCCTTCTTTTTTCTCCTATTAGTTGCTTAAAAAATCATTTTCCATTCCTTCACTTTTCTTTGTGTGTGTCTTTGGGTTTGAAGTGAGTCTCTTGTAGGCAGTATATGGACAGGTCTTGCTTTTTTATCCTCTTAGTGACTATGTCTTTTGATTGGTGAATTCAGACTATTTACATTTAGGGTGATTTTCGATAGGTATGTACTTACTGTCATTGCATCCTGTAGATTTGTGGTTACCAAAGTTTCAAGGGTAATTTCCTTACTGTCAGTCTAATTTAACTCACTTAGTATGCTATTACAAACACAACTTAAAGGTTCTTATTTCTTTTTCCTCCGTTTTCTTCTTCCTCCATTCTTTATAAATTAGGTGTCATATTCTGTACTCTTTGCCTGTCCATTGATTGGCTTTGGGGGTAGTTGATGTAATTTGGCTTTAGCTTATTAATGAATTGTTTTTTTTGTGTGTGGTTGTATTTCCCCTGGTGTCAGCTGTTTAGCTTTAGGAATACTTACTTCCATCTATAGCAGACCCTCCAAAATGCATTGTAGACCTGGTTTCTGGGAGTTAAATTCTCTCAGTTTTTGCTTATCTGGAAATTATTTAATCCTTCCTTCAAATTAGATGATAACCTTGCTGGGTTGTGAGTATTGTTGGTTTGAGGCCCTGCTGCATCACTGCATTAAATATATCATGCCACTCCCTTCTGGCCTGTGAGATTTCTGTTGAGAAGTCTGATGTTAGCCTGATAGCTTGTCCTTTCTATATGATCTTTTCTCTCTGTCCAATTGCTTTTAAACATCTGTCCTTATTATTGATCTTTGCTACTTTATTTATTATATGTCTTGGTGTTGTCTTCCTTGGATCCCTTGTTTTGGGAGATCTGTGCCCCTCCATGGCCTGAGTGACTATCTCCTTCCCTAGTTTGGGGAAGTTTTCTGCTATTACCTCCACATTGAGACTTTCTATCCCTTTTCCTCTTCTTCTGTACCTCTATAATGTGAATGTTCTTCAGGTTGGATTGGTTACACAGTTCTCTCAATATTCCTCCATTCTTAGAGATTCTTTTTTCTCTGTGTGTCTCAGATTCTTTGTATTCTTCTTCTCTAATTTGTATTTCATTTATCCTCCCTTCTATTAGATCTATTCTGCTTCTAAATCTCTCCATTGTATGTTTCATTTCTGATATGGAATTTCTTAATGATTGAATGTCCTAAATACATTCCTGAGTTCTTAAATATTTTTCTGTATCTCCATGAACATGTTTATCATTTTTATTTTGAGCTCACTTTCAGGAAGATTGGTGAGTTTAGTTTCATTTGGGCTTTTTTTGGGGTGTTTTTTGAGATTTTGGTCTGAATCAGGTTCCTTTGACATTTCTTATTTGTATGTGGCACCCTCTAGTGCCATTACCTCTAGTCTCTGGAGCTTCTCAGCCCCTGGAGTGATGTCATGGGTGGCAGGGGTGGGGTGTTGGTGCTTTGGGGGGAGGAAAGAGCTGTTACCCGTTTGCCAGCTGCAGTGCCTGTCTGCAGTGTCAGAACCATTTGGCCATCACGCAGGTGTAAGCCTCTGTGCTTCTGCAGCTGCCATAATCAGGCTTCCCTCTGGCTGACCTGATGTCAGGGCAGGGACTGCTGGTTTTTGAGCCAGTGCTGGCAGGCCAGGAGGAAGATGCAGCAGACTGTGTATCTCACTGGGGGGGCCTCTGAGCTAAGTAGCCAGCCAGGGGTATATAGTGCCTGAACCTCCTGAAAGTTCCCAACCTGCTAGGCAAAGCATGCCCAGACAATGTCCACTTATCCATTCTCCCTCACAGCAAGCTCCATGCAAACCTGCCCCTTCAGCAACCTTCTCCCTGCTAAGATGCCTCTCAGAGTGCCCATCTTTCCTCTGTCCCACAGCAGATCTATGTGAATCCCTGTCCTCCACAAATGGCTGAAATCTCAGTCTCCTCAAGTACCTCCTGTCTTAGCTTTCCAACCCCACTAATATGCAGAACTCCTTGCAATGTAGGTTTGTGCTCCCAAAGCAGATCTCCAGAACTGGTTATTCTGCAGTCCTGGGCTTCCACCCAATGTCCCCTCTATTTCTCCTCCTCCCACCACTGAGCTGGGGATTTCAAAGGGCTAGGGTTCTACTGGATCAAGGCTTTGGTATGTTACCCCGTTTCATCAGATGTGCTCTGTTCTCCAGGGGTATACCGTCTGGTGTAGTCTTCTTTCATGTTGCTCTTTTCAGGATTAGTCATATTAACTATATTTTCTTAACATATGTGGTTTTTGGAGGAGTTCTGTCTCACCTCTCATGCTGCCATCTTGAATCCATTTCCTAGCTTCCTTCCTTTCTTAAGTAAATCTGTCATGATGTCTCAGAATCTCTAATTTTAAAGCTCCCTAGTAGGAAATATCATCCACCTACCTGTGGTGAGAGTATTCATAAATATTTGCAATATGTTCCATCATCAGATTAGTATGTTTACAGGGGCTGTGTGTTGCTAAGTGACCACTTACATTTCAAAATCTGTATCTCTTTATCTATTTGTTAATTTTCTGTTAATTGTGAGAATCGGAAAATATTTTATAGCTGAAGAAGTGGTAAGAAAAACTACAGCTAATATTTATTGCTTATTCTGTGCTTTGTCTCATTGATCAGCATTTATTTTTGTTCTCCCAATCCTTGAAATAATCTTGTGAGATATTTCCAGTTGAATTTCAAGTGTAAAAATGACTTTCTTCCCTTTTTACTTTTCAGGTCATCAAGAAAATAACAACTTCTGTTCTGTAAACATAAATATTGGTCCAGGTGATTGTGAGTGGTTTGTTGTTCCTGAAGATTATTGGGGTGTTCTGAATGACTTCTGTGAAAAGTAAGTTTCTAGGTTTTGTTTTAAAGTAATTGTGAGAAAAATAAATTTTTTAAATGACATGACATGTTCAGCTTCTAGTTATCATTTAGCATAAATTTCTTGAATGATTTTATTTGAAATGTTTTATATTTTCTGGAATACAAAATGAAGATACTATTAAACTAGTTAGCACACTACTAACAGGTATGAATTCAGAGGATAGGAAGTGTATTTTGTTAGTTTTTTAATTGATGCATGAAGCCATGTTTATTTGATAAAAGTTCTTTAAAAGAAAATTAGACTTACAACTAAAATCTAAAATGGCAAGAATGGTAAAATAAAGCAAGTTTATACCTTGTTAATTAAGCTCTGTACCTTTGTAAATCACTCTAAAATCGTTTATATCTGTGGCAAGGAAACACCTATTTTCAGAGTTAGTAATGATAGTGGTGTGTAATGTAAATATCCATTACTTACTACAATGCATGCTTAAAAATACATGAAATTCTCACCTATAATTCACATATGAGATTATTTTAAAATCAATACACATATTTCATATACTGATTTCTACTTAAACATATTGGAGATTCTTTAGTGAGTATGTTTTATTAAGAAAAAGTATAGTGGTTAAAAAAAAGGGCATAACTATAAAGTTTTATTTACTGGCTAGAGATCACTTTTTATGTATAAGTTTTCTCAGGATAAGTAAGGTTACCTGTTCAAAAGTTTTAAATGTACCAGAAAAATAAAGGAACCCACTTTTACCTGAATTTTTATGTACCAGTGAAATGGCAGTTTTCATGCAAGGGAGAGATAATTGTCACTTGTGAAATATCCCTTGTGCTACAGAAAGTATTTCTTTAAGTTATTGTAGTAATTGTTACATGTACTGTGCCTTGACTCTTACTTATTATTCTGAGTAGCAACGAAAAAATATGATAAAGGATGCCTTTGAGTTGTCTGTATGGAACCTTCTGCTCCTCCTTTTTCCTCCTAAGATGGAAAAAAATATGGGACAACTCAGAATCACCCTTTACTGTATTTTTTAAGAGAAATAAAGCAAATGCATTTCTTAGGTCTTCATAAAGGAATAATTCTCCCAGAATTTTTTCCCTTAGAATATTAAATAATTGAAACACTTAAGGAATCTTACTAAATTCTTTATAAAAAATAGTATTAATGTAATAACATTAAGATACTTAATATTGTAGTGGATGGTAATTAAACAATAGAATTTAAAATTAAAGCATAATCATTTTAAGGTTTTGCTCTGGGTTGCCAGTGGGGGTGTCCCAGAATAGGAAGCTTCTCTCAGATTCTGGAAGAAAATAAAAGAAATTTTCATCCATTGCTGAATTGGGAGAACATCTTTGATCCTATATCTGCCAGAGTGATTCCTTTTAACAAGTTGTTTTTTTATATAGTCCCCACTCTAAATTTTCTTTTTATAAGGATTATGAGATGTTCTCCAGAAATGACAATTTTGAGTGTATAAATAAATCAAAATACTCCTTTTGAAGGAAAATTTTAAATCGATGTAAGTGTAGTTTGAAATTTTAACATTTGTACTTGTGAAAAATAAGTTTAACATTTAGTACAGATCCTGAATAAATCTACTATCATCTGTTGTTACCTTTTTTCAGAATTACCCCTTTCATTTTAAAGCCATCAGTTTTGAAAGCTCCAAATCTTATTGCATTAGTTTTACTGAATTATACAGAGTATCTTTTAATCTTTTTGAAATTATTTCCCCATCTTTTATTAGATATTAAAAGAATTCTGTATTACATATTTTTTTTCCAGAAATAATTTGAATTTCCTTATGAGTTCTTGGTGGCCCAACCTTGAAGATCTTTATGAAGCAAATGTTCCCGTATATAGGTTTATTCAGAGACCAGGAGATTTGGTCTGGATAAATGCAGGCACTGTACATTGGGTTCAGGCTATTGGCTGGTGCAACAATATTGCTTGGAACGTTGGTCCCCTAACAGGTACTTTTTAAAAATTGAGGTACATAAAGTAAAATGCAAAAATTTTACTGTGTAATTCAGTGATTTCTCACATGTAAATGTACTCATATAACCATCACACCTAACAAGATAGCAAACATTCTAATTTTTCCCCTTTTAACATGTTTCATTCATTTCCCAACCTCCTCCCAACCAGTCTGTTCTCTGTGTCTGTGAGTCTATTTCTGGTTTGTTTCTTTTGTAGATCCCACATAAAAGTGAATTCAATTGTTATTTGTCTTTTGCTGTCTGACTTATTTCACTTAGTATAGTACCATGAGGTCCATCAGTGTTGTAATAAATGGCAAGATTTCATTCTTTTCTGTGGTTGAGTAATAATCCATTGTATGTACCATTTCTTATTTATTTATTTTCAACAGGTGTTGATTTTTTTAAATTTATTTTTTAATTAAATAACCAGCCTTGGTATACACTCATATTGTTTCACTTTTACAACACAGTGACTCAACAGTTACCCATATTAAATCCTCACCTCCACAGGCAGTTACAGTCTGTCAACATAGAAAGACGTTACAGAATCATTGGCCATATTCTCCATTCTGTAGTACCATCACTGTGACCAACTGATACTACGACTCAAAAATTTTTTGTGCACCTTCTCCTGGGACTCCTGAATCGAATGTTCACATATTTTGTTGTCCCAGTAGTCCATTAACCTAGTCTCATTTCTTCTTTTTGTTTCTAGTGTTCAGCTTAAATACTTTGTTACTGTCTCTTCCAAATCACTGATCTCTTCTGAATCCTCTAATCTTCTATTGCATTTTCCATTCCCTTTATTATACTTTTCATTTCTGATTGGTGCTTTTTTGCATCTCCATCTCTTTTTTCAAGTCCTCCAAAAGTTACTGCACTGTTCTCTTAAGCACAATGAGCATATTTATAACCATTACTTTGAACTCTGTTGGGTAAACAGCTTAACTCTCATGTTGTTCATTTTCTGAAATTTGTCTTCTTTGTTTCAAGCATATTCCTCTATTTAGTTTGACTTTTCTCTGTATGAATGCAGTGAAAGTGCTCTCACTCACTCTTGAAGGTGTGGCCTAGTATAAGAATGTCCTCTGAGTACTCTTAAGTTTGGTGGCTTTGGCTGGCCATCTAGGGCTCTTTGAGTGTGGACTGGGGTTCTCTTCTTACGGGGTTACAGGTAAATGACCAGGAGCTCTGCTGGCAGGTTTTTCCCAGGTGGACAGAGTCCGTATTGTGGTGCTATATAGTATTGGGACTAGGGACAGAAGAAGAATGGGCTGAGTGAATCTGCACTAGCAGTAAATTAGTTCCACCTTACTAATAATCTTCTTAAATAATACATTAACATATTTTACATTTTAAATGATGCTGTCTCATAGGTGTTGCTTTTCTATTAGATATTAACTCACTGAAGTTTGGAAGATTGTATCTCCTAGGAAAAATCTTAATTGTTAATACAGAGAGTAAATTCAAGTAAAGAAATAGGTATCCAAAAACAGATACTTTGGCAAATACCAAATGTGTCCTTTTATAGACAAGAGAGTATATATTTTTGATATTTTCAGGTATTATGTGTTTTTATAATAGAAGGCTTTTATGGGGGAAAGCTAAGCAGAATAGTTTTTCTTTCAAATTTTTATTCATTTGGTATGTCATATGAGAAGCCTTAAGTATGTCAAATTCTCCTCAATATATGTAAGATGAATAATCTGTTCTTTGAAGACAAAAAGGCATGAGTGAGTCCTTGGCTTTACTTTTGTTAAATTAATGACTTTGGGGGAAAGGTTTTGAATCTTTCCAGACCATGAAAATTATGACATCAGTAAAGGTTTGAAACGATGAAAGGAGGTAAGGTATAAGAAGAGTCTAGCATAACACCTAGCCTTTTGTTAAGTTCTCTTTAAATGAGAAGTTTTTTTAAAGCTGAATTTTCCTAAGACATACTGTTTTTAGGATTTCAGAATTCATGTTAAAGTTATCATCTGAAAGGTGATAATGCTTTTGTTATATCAGGTTGCTATTTTATAAACCAAAAAATTCTTTTTCTCCCTTTAGCCTGGCAATATAAATTAGCAGTGGAACGGTACGAGTGGAACAAATTGCAAAGTGTGAAGTCTGTAGTACCCATGGTTCATCTTACCTGGAATATGGCACGAAATATCAAAGTCTCAGATCCCAAGCTTTTTGAAATGATTAAGTAAGTGAAGTGCTTTCCAAAATTGTTGTAGTGGTGCATCTTTAGAGAGGAGGGCAGGAAAGGATGATACAGATATTGTTCACTGAAAATTTTTTTCCCAGAGAACTACGTAAGTTCACACCATTACAAAATGGTCTGAAGTTTTTGACTTCGCTTTTAAATTCACATGTTAAACCTATTTTCTTCCTTTCTGAACAATCAGACTATGGCTATTATGATACAGAGAGTAGTAATAAAGGTAAATATGATTCTGAATGGGTAAATTCATGTGTTTGTGCTTTCTCTTGCCCTGTGACCAAAGTGACTTGCCAGGATATCTTTAGTTTTAATATTGCAAGTCTACCTGCACCAATACGAAGTAAGGATGATATAAATTTCCCATAAAGAATTAGCATCTAAAATAGTGATCTAACTAAAAGTAAAATGTTCTTTGTAATTAAGTCAATCCTTTAGGTTCTTGAATCACTTACTACAAATTTTATTAATAATATAAATACATATATACATATACATATATATTCTGGTAACTTCTCATTTATTAGCCTTGTTTCTGTTAAATTTTTTTAGTAAGTGTAGTTAGAGTACATTTTTTTAGACAGTGCCACCTAGCACTGTTTCTGCAGATTGTGATTTACTTGTTTTTCTTGCTCCTTACCGTCTTCTCTTACTAGTGAAAAGTAATTCTGGTCAAATATTGGGAAATTATACACTAAACATTTAGCTACTGTGCTTTCTTGTTGCTGTTGAGGGGTGCAACTCATTGTTCTTGCTAAGTCCTTTTAGGGCCTGTGTATGTTCATGTACTTTTTCAATGTGAGAGGAAGATTTAGTGTCCCAAACTTACTAGACCAGTATTTTTAAAAACAATACTGGCTTATGATAAACAGCTTCAAGTTCTATATTCAAAATTTTGTTTTAACAAATACAGCCAAGTAATGATTGTGAGACCAAAGTAACAGTTCCAGGCACTATTTAATTGAGTGACTCCTTCTATTTTTGATACATGTTTGAAATATAAAATTAGTAAGGTTTGAAAGAGCATTTAGTGAAAACTTGTACATAATGTAGCAATTTCTATTTAAAATCCACAGTTTGTGGTCATTTGGGAACTTGTTCATGATGCTAATTATCTCAACTCAAAATTTTGAAGATAACATTATGATCATCCAGAATGTACTGTTTATTCCTAATGCCTAAATTTTTTTAGGATGTATGCAAAATAAATCACATTCAACAAGTGTTGAACATGCCAAACACTGTTCTTGACAGTGGGGGTATATTCTGTAAGACATAACACAAAATCTATGCCTTTGTGTAGTTTAAATGCTAGTGGAACTAGAAACAAATTCCCAAGAAGATCAATAAGTTACTGTTAGAGTAATGTGAGTGAAATAAAACAGGGTACTATTTGGGTTTTTGTTAGAGGATCAGAGAATGCTGCTTTTGCCAAAGTAGTACCGAAAGCATGATTTCTGTGCTTGGACCTATGTAATGAAAGAAGACAACTGTAAGAGAAGCTAGAAATAGAACATTTCAGGCTTTGAAAATAAGTGAAAAATTTAAATGAGAACACCTTTGGTGTATTTGTGGGAGAGAAAAGTCAATGTGACTGTTTCAGAATCAAGGAAGAGAATAATAGCTTTGGTGTTTAGTTCATGTATGTGACCCTGTACCACATAATAGATGGCCTTGTAGGTAGTGGTAATTCTGAATTGTGTATTAGAGGACTTAAACAAGTAAAGGGATTAATTCTGGTCTATACTTTTAAACTAAGAATAGGTTTAATTTTTGGAAAGTGGATTGCAGGGTGCAAGATCAGTAATACAACCCAGTAATTACAGCAATCCACAGTACTTCAGTTGAGACTGTAGACATGAAAAGAGGGATCACATTACAAACTTATGAAACTAGAGCTCAAGGGTTTATGCATTGATAAGGTAGTGTGAGATAAGGATGAAAAAGGAATCAAGAAAAGGGGATTATCATCCTGTGTTGTTCTTAACTTGTTGATTGGCTTAAAATATGTCTCCCTTCTGTATTTTCATTCTCTCTCCTTAATGTCCTTCTAGACCCTTTCAGTTTGGCAGGGTCTTTCTCAGTATTTGACATATGTGGCACATTAAGACCTGACTTTCCATTATACGCGATATTCCCATGCTCTATGGTGGAAGCTTCAATGCATTGTTTTTGTTGTGGCAGTGGTACCATTAACCTTTAATATAAAAATTTAGGGGTTGTCTTCCCCTTGAATTTTTGAATTTTTATCCATATGAATTTTTATCCATAATTTCCTTATGCATTTTTTAAAAACCAAAATGAATCTTACTTATTTAAGTGGAATCTGTTTCACCTGGAATTTTAGTGTGTGTGAGAGGCTTGGTTTTTGAATACTGGATTACAAATATAAAATCATTTAAAATATTGATTTCCTAATTGTAATTTCAGAATTCTACTCCCAACTTTAGTTTTCTGGTGTTTAATTAGTACTGTTTTTTTCTCATCACTCTGATTCAAATTATTAACTTAATTCAGCAACCTTTGTAAATATACTTTCACCAGCTAAGAATACTTATTTGTAATGTCTTTCATTTAATGAATATTTGAGTACTGATCGAATAGAAGGACCCTGGGCTAACTCCTAGAGATTTTGAAATATTTTGTGCATATTCCTATCTTGTATTCTGCCAGTAGGGGAAAATAGGGAGAGATGGTAATGGTGTACGTGTATGAAAATGCATGGACTGAAGCTTGTGTATTTTTAAATGTAACAATTATGTCAATTATATCTCAATTTGAAAACTAATGTTCAATCAAAAACCTTATATCCTTTGGATTCTATAAAAATCAGGAATGTTTGGGAGGAGCTGTTTTTTGGTTAAGAAAGTAGTATACATGAAGGAAGAAAGAGGAAAGAATAGAATAGAAAACTATGTCACATAGGTTCTCATTGTCTAGTACTTAGTAACCTTAATGAGTTCTATAAGTGATTATGAGAAACTACCACAGTTATAACAGTTGTAGGTCAACCATCTAGTTAGAGTCCGCATTTTGAAACACCTACCTGTTCAATAGGAAAGCATTTGTTTATAATTATGACACATCAACAGGTTAACACAGTAGCAGGATCAAAAAACTGGATACAGATTTTAGGAAAAGCTGCTGAAAATGCAGGTCTTCAGAGAGGCATCAGAAAAGTAACCAACTGGGGAATATTCCACCTAGTAATTGTCATTTCCTTGAGAGAAAGGAAGCAGTAACAAATAGAACTTCAGAGAATACTTCTGTTTTAAGAACAGGGAAAATAAGGAAAGAAAATGAACACAGAGGTACAGGAGAATGTATTGTTACAGACTCAGAGGATTTATAGTTTTCCTGTAAGCACAGTTCAGCTGTGCAGTTATTGCATCCATGTCATTGTTTTGGCCTTTAAATCTAGTATGTGATCAAAAAGGAAGTGGTATGAAGTGGTATTAGTTTAATCTGTTTTGTGAGCTCTGTTGATGTTTAATAAACAGTTTTTTTCTTGAAATACTTTTCCTCTGCTTTGAGTCATTTGATGTTAGTCAGGCTTCACTCCTCCATCCACACTATTTTAAACATAAAAAAACACAAGTGTAGACTTTCTTGGAATCTGTATTTCTAAGAGTAGCACACTAATTATTTAAAAGCCTGAAACATCCTTAATCAATCTTAATATCTATTTCTCTTGGTATACACACTTAATTTTTTATTATTTTTATGGGTACTCTTTACCATTTAAAACTTAATTTGAATTACAATGAAACATATCATAAGTAAAACATGTATTTTTTTGGTATACAAGTCATTTCCAATTTTAAAACGGTTGGAAAACAGCTAGTAGTGAGAAGTACAATGAAAAAGATATGCACAGGTGGTACTCTTTCTTACCTTTCTCCCTAGTTCTTAATTATTCTGAATCTATGAAATGTGGTCTCTCTGTGTATATTTCATATCTTCATAGTTCATTTATATTTAAAGTACAGAAAGTACATTAACAAAAAGAAAATGATAAAATTTATCTGTTACTTTTCCACTCATCTACGGAGGTAAAACGAGAACCTTTTATTCTTTATTTAATTCAGTGGGTGTTTATTATGAACCAACTTGGTGGCTAGGCACTCTGCAGGGTGATTAAAAAGAATAATCAGATCTAAAGTGTTAACATTTTGTCAGAAACCATTAAGTTATGTGCCTTTGCATTATTGATAAATCTTGATATGGAACAATGAAGGGTCACAGAATATGACTCTTCCAAAAAAGGACTCAAAGTTATATAGTTCCTTATCTTAAATCTGTTCTCCAGATGTATTTTCAGATTCAGATTTTTCATATTTAGAAAGTTGTATGACATTTCTTCCCCTATTTGCACTGTCTAGAACAGGATTCTGTTTTGTTTTGTTTCTTTTTGTATCTTTGATCTACATTTACATGAGGAACATTGTTTGGGGTTGTCTTCCCCTTGAATTACTGAAAAACAATTTTTTCTTGGTATAATTAGTCTATAATTACATGAGCATTGTGTTTACTAGACACCCCCCATCACAAGGTCCCACCCACATACCCCATTACATTCTCTGTCCATCAGTGTAGTAAGATGCTATATAGTCACTATTTGTCTTCTCTATGTTGTACATTCCTCCCTGTGCCCCACCATTATAATGTTAATCATAATGCCCTCTTTCTTTTTCACCCACCCTTATCCCTCCCTTCCTACCCATCCTCCCTAGTCCCTTTCTCTCCCTCCCTTCCCACCCATTCTTCTTAGACCCTTTCTCTTTGGTAACTGTTAGTCCATTCTTTGGTTCTGTGAGTCTACTGCTGTTTTGTTCCTTCAGTTTTTTGTTTGTTCTTATACTCCACAGATGAGTAAAATCATTTGATACTTGTCTTTCTCTGCCTGGCTTATTTCACTGAACATGATACCCCCTAGCTCCATCCATATTGTGGCAAATTGTAGGATTTGTTTTCTTCTTATGACT